GTTAAGAATAGCTTCATCATTAGGGTTATGGTTGGTGCTGGAGACAGCATTAGGATTATGCTTAGGGTTAGTATTAGGGATTCTGATGTGGTTATGCTTAGTGCTATAGTAAGTGCATATGGTTATGGTTAGAGTAAGGCTTATGGTTAGGATAAGTGTTAGGTTTAGGATTAATGTTAAGAATAGATTTTTCCTTAGGGTTATGGTTAGGAATAGTGTTATGGTTAGGGTTAGTATTACGGACACTGTGTTAGGGTTATAGTTAGTGGTAGCTTTATTAGTTTAGTGTTAGGCATAGTCTTAGAGTTAAGGTTAGGGTTTGAGATAGCATTAGGGTTATGGTTAGTGTAAGGTATAACCTTGTTGATAATGTTAGGGATAGTGTTAGGGTTATGTTTAGGGTTAGTGTTAGGTATAGCCTTGTTGATAGTGTTAGGGATAGCAGTAGGGTTAGTATAAGGCATAGCCTTGTTGATAGTATTAGGGAAAGTGTTAGGGTTATGGTTATGGTTAGTGTTAGGGATGGCTTTGTTGGCAGTGTTAGGGATAGCGTTAGGGTTATGGTTAGTGTTAGGGATAGCCTTGTTGATAGTGTTAGGGATAGTTTTAGGTTCAGGGTTAGTGTTAAGGATATCCTTGTTGATAGTTTTAGGGATAGCATTAGGGTTAGGGATAGCCTTGTTGATAGTTTTAGGGATAGCGTTAGGGTTAGTGTTAGGGATAGGCTTGTTGATAGTGTTAGGGATAGCATTATAGTTAGGGTTAGGGATAGCCTTGTGGATAGTTTTAGGGATAGCGTTAGGGTTATGGTTAGTGTTAGGGATAGTCTTGTTGATAGGGTTATGGTTAGTGTTAGGAATATCGTTAGGGTTATGGTTAAGGGTAGTGTTAGGGACAGCATTAGAGTTATGGTTAGCAGTAAGATTAAGCATGTCAGATACATCCAAAGGAAGTGAGTGCCAGTGCAAACAGCATCCTGTGTCCACCAAGGCACATATGTGTGGGATTGCCAATGCCTGTTCTAACCCTTCCCATACAACATTTGGGTCAGTCCACTTAGTTGATATTGCAGATATTCCAAAGCCAAAACTGTTTCGTGCTAACTCCAAAATGGGGCTTTCCGGGTAACGTCCCTCATTGAAGAAATACAAATACTGTGGCTAATTTGCTCTAGAGCCTATCCCTTTGGCATCTCAGAGGGAATCCACAGTCACGTCTGGTAAGGAGTACTGATACTGGTAAGGAGTGCAGTGAAATTTCAACTGGACTTGAAGGGAATCCAGGGACCAAAAGGTGATCTAAAGCACCACGCCATAAATCTAAAGTCCTAAAAGTTTTATTATATGTAAAGGCAAACCAACAGCAAAGATGGCCCAAAATCCATTTCCACCATCCCTGATGGATTTTAAAGCAGGTAGCTGGGGAAAAGAAAGCAAAGGTGGGCAGGGTATCCACATGGGAGGTTGGAACATACAAAGGTGGACGGGAATACCTAAAGCTGCCATGCGGTTGAACACAGCTGGAAATGATAGCCAGGAGATCTTACTGTTGGATCATCTAAGGCTTATAAGCACACCAGGCCTCAGCTGCAACTACAATATCCCACCTGGATGGACCGATCCTTTACATAAACTTTCAGTTGGCTTTACAGCCAGCCGCTCATGGAGCTTGGAAGGTGTGACGTGCGTTTGGAAATGTTCTATATTCTACCCGGCACTTCTCCTTGTTGGACTCCACCATCATGTAGGAATCTTGAACACCCTTATTAATATTTATAACAATTTATTCCCCATAGCTACAAAAAAATGAGGTCTTATGACAAACCTGCCTTTTATCACCGAGCACCGCGTACAACGCTGGCAACTGATAGCATTGTCAGTGCAGATGAATATTAAAGATTATTTTTATATTCTAAGCCACAGCAGATATGTCAGAGCGCCCAGTGGGGGACTGGATTTCTGCGATTGCATGGTGGAGAAGGAACGGCGTTGTCATGCACATCTGTTTTTGCTTGTTTTCCGTGCTCACACTAGCAGCAATCAAGACATTTTCTTAGGAAATTAGTAGGAAAAGAAGTCTTCTGGGTAATAACCAAAGAGTGCCAGTCAGTCTCCGGCCTGGCAATTACATCCCACCATTGGACAGACGAGAAAGAGGGCGCTCGGGGTAAAGTGACGCCAGCAAAGATTTGGGAATTATTTGCTCTGATGGACTTACTGTCGGAGAGTCTCAGGATATGTAGTCTGTAAAATTTAAGGGTGGCTCCTCTCTGTGGTCCTGGAACAGTTTTTTTTTTTTTTTTATAGCTGCATTTTTGTTCCCAGATATGCGCACTCGCTGCAGTTGTTTCAACAGAGATCCACACTTGCTGCTGGACTTTGTATTTAATCTACAATTATTGTAAGCTCCTCTGGTGCTGAGACTGAAGTGACTGGCTCAGTGTTCTCTGTACAGCACTGCGGTATATGCCAGAGCTATATAAATCTTTATTAATGTATAATAATAGTGTGTGACTGTGGGGGGACATTAGAGTGCAAGCTCCTCTGTTACAGAGACTGATGTGACTGGCCCAGGGTTCTCTGTTCATCACTATGGACTAGATCAGAGCAATGAAATAGTGTGTGGCTGTGGGGGGAGGTGTATGCTCCTCTGCTGCAGAGACTGATGTGACTGGCTCAGTGTTCTCAGTACAGCACTGCGGTATATGTCAGAGCTATATAAATGTATACTATTAGTGTGTGTGACTCGGAGGGACATTAGAGTGTAAGCTCTTCTGGTGCAGAGACTCATGTGACTGGTTCAGTCTGCTCTTTACATCACTATGGACTGTGTGAGAGCTATATAAATGTATAATAATAATGTGTGAATGTGGGGGGGCATTAGAGTGTAAGCTCCTCTGTACATAGACTGATGTGACTGGCTCAGTGTTCTCTGTACAGCACTCCGGTATATGTCAGAGCTATATAGATGTATAATAATAATAGTGTGTGACTGTGGGGGACATTAGAGTGTCAGCTCCTCTGTACAGAGACTGATGTGACTGGCTCAGTGTTCTCTGTACAGCACTACGGTATACAGTATGTCAGAGCTATATAAATGTATAATAGTAGTGTGTGACTGTGGGGGGGACATTAGAGTGTAAGCTCCTCTGTACAGAGACTGAAGTGACTGGCTCGGTGATCTCTGTACAGCACTGCGGTATATGTCAGAGTTATATAAATGTATCATAATATCAGCACTGCGTAATGGCTTTTGTTGTATAAATATAATAAATGTAGATAGACTCTTCGGAATGGCCAACGCACACTAGACTCAATTCACGAAGCTTTACACAAGACTCTTAATTCTCAGCCCTGTGACTTTCCAATTTCAGCCGAATATTCCTGCCATCTTTTTTTAGAATAAGGATTCTTATCCGGGTTTGTTAGCTTTGTGGAGTGAGCCTACTGTCTGATTAGAAGTATGTTGAGGTTGCTGCCTGCTAAGAAATAGTCTTGTAGTCAGGAATCTCAGTGTAAATTATTTTTCATTGGATAGGTCTGATCATAGGTGACAACACAAGCTGCATTAGACTTTGGATTTACTTTATAGCTAGAGAAAAAAACTGCTGCTTTCTGGGAGAATTAAGAGGACGGATATGCCAACCTAGCAATTCGGGAAATGTTTGCCTGGAATTCTTTCTTCTGAGAATTGTCCGTTCATGTTCAGATGCTTTGTGACTTATTATTGATATCCAACTATAAGGGTGCGGCGGCGTTAGCATGGCAAATATCCAGCTGTAGACATGCACTATATGGTTAAAAGTTTGTGCCCTCCTGACCTTCACACCGTCTACATCAGGGATGGCCAAACTGCGGCCCTCCAGCTGTGGTGGAACTACGAATCCCATGAGGCTTTGCAAGATTCTTACAGCCGCAGACATGACTCCCGGAGAGAGATGCATCATGGGATTTGTTGTTTCACCACAGCTGGAGGGCCGGAGTTTGGCCATCCCTGGTCTATATGATTAAAAGTATGTGGAGCCCCCTCCAAGTGATTGAGTTCAGGTGTTTCTAGTGAAGGGAACTGTAAATAGTACAACATACAAAGGCAATTCCATCCCAACATTGTGGTAAGAGTTTGTGTTCCAGCATGACTGTCCCCTGTGTACAATGCCAGCTCCATAATTACATGGCTTGACCAGTTTGGTGTTGGAGGCAGTGGCGTCACAAGGGGGGGGTGAGGCCTGCACTCGGGTGACACCATTGGAGAGGTGATACCAAAATGACTGACAGTCATTTTGGTGTCACCCCCTCTAAAAAGTCGGGCACCCGGTCATGGACCGAGAGCCCGACAGTGTCAGGAGAGAGGAGGGGACCCGGCGGGTGAATGTGCCCTCCTCTCTCAATTAGATAGCCGCGCATGCGCTATCACGTCATGGTGGGGTGTCACCCGGTCCCCACTCCTGGGTAACACCCGACCTCGGGACACCCCTGGTTGGAGGTACTTTAGTGTTCTGCGCAGAGCTCTGATCTCAATCCTACTGAACACCATCGGGATTTATTGTAATTCCGCTTGTGAGGCAGGTCTCTCATCCAACATCAGTTAGTGACCTCACAAATGGGCACAAATTCCCACAGACACCCTCCAGAATCTTGTGGAAAGCCTTCCTTGAAGAGTGCAGTCTGTTATAGCACCTAGGAGGGGGACTGCTCTACAGTCATACCCATGGTTTTGGAACGGGATGTCCAACAAATGCATTTAGGTGTGATGGTCAAGTAGCCACAAATTGCCAAATAGTGTACCTCCTATTCTAAATTTAGCAAATGCATAACATTTGCAACTAATTCTGAGGGTGCTAGTGACTAGTAAAAGGTGCCATGCACTATCCCGATTAAGGACTGAGAGGATTAATAACAGTGCATCAATATAGATGTATGCAGTTGTGTAACTTTGCCCTGTTTTTCTTTTTAGCTATCTTAATCCAGTCGTACTAATTCCTATAAATTTCTTTTTTTCAGGTGGGATATCTGAGGAATCGATCTGGAGATGGACTTACTATCAGGGACCTACCTTTTGGCGGTGTTAATAGCCTGTATAGTCTATGAGTCTGGTGCTCAGGAGAAGAATTACATCATACGCGAGGAACAGGGCGAAAATATATCCATTGGAAACTTGTTACGGGACCTAAACCTAACCCTCGACCCTGATATAGCTCTCTCCACCCCTCTCCAGTTTAAGCTGGTCTACAAGACCGGCGATGTCCCCTTGGTACGGGTCGAGGAGAACACTGGTGAAATTTTCACCACCTCCAACCGGATAGACCGCGAGAAGCTTTGCGCTGGGATATTTACAGAAAACAAGTGCTTTTATGAGGTGGAGGTTGCCGTTTTACCCGACGAGGTCTTCAGGTTGGTCAAGATCCGGTTCTTGATCGAAGACATCAACGATAACGCTCCACTTTTCCCCTCCACGGTCATCAATATCTCCATCCCGGAAAACACCGCCGTCAACTCTCGATACTCTGTGCCATCCGCCATTGACCCGGATGTGGGCAAGAATGGAATTCAGAACTACGATCTACTTAAGGTTGGTATATTTGGCTTATGGCATTCAGACATTGACTTTGTGACCCCGTAAACTTTTACCTTCCTTTATTCATTTAAAAACTTTAAGGAAATAATATTATTTTAAAATTGTATTTAAATGTCCAAGATTTATCTGCAGTATATGTAAAATAGCAAAGTAAGGTTTAATCACTTGCAAATGCATTCGGTCACCATGGTTTCGTACAATTAATATTAATGGGGAAAGTTATGAAATTGTTTCTTCAGGGGATAAGATATAGTAGAATAAAGAAAGGAAGAGGCCAAATGTTCTTAAATCTGTGTAGAGGTAGTTCCAGAAAGCACTTGGTGGGGTTAGGAGTGGCCCTATGCTGATTGACAAGCTACATGCTTGTGACTCCTTAGCATGCCACGTCCCACTGTTAGGCCTCATTCACACGAGAAAAGGCCGGCACTTACAGCTCCGTGCATGGCCGTATCAGGCAGCTCCCGGGAAGGACAGGTGCTGCGTGTGATTAGTACGCAGCCCCTGTCCTTCTCTATGGGAGTACACGGCCGTACGCCGCCCTACGCTCACCCCAAGTGCAGGTCCGTACAGGTGCGGGTGTCCCGGCTCGGACGCAGACAGGATCCACCCTGTCAGCGTACAAGTACGGACATCCGCACCGACGTGCAGGTCGGGTGAGTGTAGGCCGCGTACTGCCACATACTACCATAGAGAAGGATGGGGGCTGCGTACTAATCACACTCAGCACCTGTCCTTCCCGGTAGCTGACCGATACGGCCGTGCACGCTGCACGGAGCTGTACCAGCCGAATTCAGGAGCAGTGCTTCATTGTTGCTCTTCACCACAGAAAGCTGCATTAGGTGGACTTACCTGACAGGAGGACCAACAGGTATTTGTGGGACTTTGCAGAGTGACTAGGAGAAAACTGTAAGTGCAGATGCACTTATTGTTGAGTGTCACATTTTTTTAATGGGAGGCCAGGGCTCTACTTTAATTATATGGTCCCTTTGTAATATCCTCATTATTATCCAGTACAGGGAGAACTCTTACTCATAGAATAATACAAAAAATCATTTTAATTGGTGCAAAAAATCTTTTCCTTATGGGTTTTTATATTAAAAGCGTGGTCTTGTTACAAACTTGAAAGCTCATTTTTCAAACGTCTAAGATGAAATATAGCCCCAAATTGACACCCGCTAATCCATCTTTACTAATGGGAAGTTCATTCAGAATTATGACCAGGCTGCAGATTTATTAGTATCATAAAAAAAATTACTTTCTTTCCCTCTTTATTTTTTTTTATCGATGTGCCAGTGTTGTGTAAGAAACCGTGACCCACATTTGAATTGGGCAAGGCAGAGTCATTAGCAGCTGGTCTTAGGATATTGTGGCATGAGTCATTGGCTATGCTTAATAATCATGTTTGAGGCTAATTACATCAACACATGCCCTCAAAATATTAAATTTTGGGAGCTGGACCAAGGGCTCAGAAACGTGAGCCAAATTAGAGCGGGAATGGAAACTGCAAAGGAGCAGCTGGGGCAAAAACAAACTCTCCCTCCTCTCTCTCCTCTCTCTCTTGTCTCTCTCCATCTTCCTTTTCCTCTCTCCCTTTTGCCTCCTTCCTCTCTCTATCGTCCTTTCCTCCATATCTATTATAAATGAAAGATGGATGTTTTGGCCAGTGATGGACACGTTAATCCAACAAATTGAACATGAAATTAAGAAAGACATAATAAATCCCCATTACTTTCGGATTGTTGACCTCCGCTGTTTCCTGCTAACAATGATCTCGTTAGTCTGTCTTGCTGCATGTAGTATGCAGGTGTTTATACATTATTTATTCCCTCCAATCTCTCAGTTTCTAATGATGCGCTCCGCTGTCTAAGCCTCATCCCATCCTGCTAGACCAGAGGCAAAAATGTGGTCCCAAGATCTGTGTAGACTCTGCTTACTCCTTAAAGTGACTTGATCACATTTGTGGCTTCAGATCAAAACACAAAGATACGTCTAGAGATGAAACAGAATTTTACAATCTTTCAATCATGCCGCAGTGCTTGCGGGGAGCTATTTTTGCATTGTACCTTTTCTGTGTACCTTTTGCTGTTTGTGATGAATTGCCAACAGAGTTCAAATCAAATCATTAACATTGTGTTGCAGCTCAGGCTTCAGCTTTTTGTATGGGCAAATCACAAGTTTACTGGTGGCCAAACAGAACTCTATACTTTCAAGTGTATCTGTAAAAAATAAGTCAAGGCGACTGGACATAGTTACATAGTATTTGAGGTTGAATAAAGACATATGTCCATCAAGCCCAACCTATTTGTGTATGTGTATATGGTCCTATTGGTGTGTAATATGTATAGGTCCCTGTGTGATCTCATTCTTAAGAGTACTTGTACCCCTGTATATTACGGTCCCTGAGGAAATCGCCTCTTGAATGATTCCAAATCACAGCATGTGGCAGTGAGTTCCAGACCCTGACAGATCTAACTGAGAAGAAACCCCTTCGCCCCTTTGTTTCTGAAGATACGGGGAAACAACGCAATGTAACAGCCTTTGAACGTGGGATGATTGTTGGCGCTCGGAGCCATGGAGCGAGTATCAGCAAAACAGCAGAATTCGTTAAATGTTCAAGAGCAGCTGTTGTTAAAGTGTTTAAAGACCGGACTGTCAGCCGAAAATCTGGGTCTGAACGTGCGAATTGTGGCCGTCAGCGACTAGTCAATGTTAGGGCAGAACGGGGGAGGGGCAAGACTGGTACAAGACAACAGAAGGGCAACAGTGCAGTGTCAGATTCCTCGCATCACCTTCCAACATCTCGTGGAGTCACGAGGCAGCCCAACAAAGTCATCTCGTGGAGTCATCTCGTGGCCCAACGAAGTACTGATGGGGTGGTCATAATAATCTGGCCACTCAGTGTATATCTTTATGGAAATGGCTTTGTACATAGGAGCACAGTCATGCCGGAACAGAAAAGGGCCCTCACCAATCTGTTACCACAAGTGCACAGTTGTCTTAAATGTCTTTTATGATATATCATTAACAGTCCTCTTCACTAAAAACACTTGAACTCAATCATTTTGGAGTGGAGTCCCATATACTTTAGGCCACAGGGTGTAAATCTTTGCAAGCAATGAAAGGTTCTCCCTTTGCTGAAAGCACATACTTGCATATATCAGCAACACCAGGGATAAGGATCACTGTTTTCAAGTCGAGTCTGTTGTGCCTGGTGAGAGATGAGACTGCTTTTCACCTTCTATAAGCTGATTATCACTGAGTTGATCAATAAGTGATATCCCTAATGAAATAACCCTCTAATGGTTTCTTATCATTCTCCTTATTGTTGAGAGTTCTACTCTTGACCTCTCAGATCTGCATATCTGCTGGAGTCATTATGAGGGGTTCTCAGCATCTCTGCTAGATTTTTAAAATCTATTTTATAATCTGGAGAATGTATCATGAGTAGCTGGAACATACAAGGGTAGCAGGTTACATTTATAACAGAAATATCAGTTCCAGGTGGCATGGCCCTGTAATGAGCACCACTAGTAGTCCATGGAGTTTTTTTAATTTATTTTTTTACTCCACAAAAAAACTTTTCAGCTTACCCGTTGAGTGAACCACAAAAGCTCCATGTCTGGTTGCTGTTATTATTGGATTAAATTCATAGCTGTGTTAGGATGTCCAAAGGCTCATTCATGCCACCCATAGTTTATATTTCTTAATAAAAACAGACACCCAGGCACTAATATTACCTGGTGATCCTGCCATGAAGGCCCCCTTTTCATGTACCTCCAGTTATTGGGTATCAATGCTCTGGTTTTGTCTCCCAGTTGTGCTCTTGTGTTGTCACCGACACATGGACTTTCAATGGAGACTACAAGACACATTTTCAACACACATTATGTAGACATGGTCCACTGTCATCACTGTCAGGCAGCAATCACTAGAGCCAGGGGCGTAACTAGAAAATCACAGGGCCCCATAGCAAAATCTTGTATTGGGCCTTGGGATTTCTAGTTTCACCCCTTGCAGAGCCCACCTGAGATCCCACACAGCCCACCTGAGAGTGACCCTGCAGAGACCACCATAGACTCTCTATGGTGGGCTTTGCAGCGTCTTAGGTGGTCTGGTCACACCCCTGCACACCTCTTACCTGTCAGCTCCGATCAACTGTCAGCCTTCTCCACTGCCTGGCCCCATCTACTCCTAGGTTGCGGGCGGACATTGCCTCCTGCACAGTAGCCAGGCCTAGCCTCTTGCTCCTCCTCCGCTGCGGCCGTCGGGCCCCTAGCCACCTCCACCGCAAGTTGCTGGCTGTCACTGGTGGATATGGGGAGGAACGCACCACTGCATAGAGACAGCGGCGTGTTCCTGCTCACAGCCGCCAGTGACAGCCAGCAGCCTGCGATGCCATAGTGACCCAATCGACCTCCACGGCATCAGGGGGATCCCTTTGTACCTCATCCTGGCCGGGACTCCCTGTGCCCCGGGCCCCATAGCGGACGCTTGTCTTGCTATGGTGATAGTTCTGCCACTAGCTAGAGTGCATGTAGACAGGAAGTGGCTGCAAAGAGATGGGCAGCATTGACGCAAAAAGGTGAAAACAGGTATGCTATAAAAGTAAATGGCGATATGTTTAAGATATACAGTGTCTATACATCTTACTAATGGCCCTTTCAGGGGGTTCCCAATAATGTGATGGCTGTGATTGGCTGTCATGTGATCAGGAGACCCTACAAAGAACTCTCAGCCATCACTGTGTGACCAAAAGCTGTCAATGACAGGCTGATCACAGTGCTGGGGGGCACAGTTTAGCATGCTCATAGCACGAAACAGCAATGCATTTAAGTAGCAGCAGAGAATGAGGCCTACCTCCATGCTGCCACATATACAGTATGTCTACTGGCATGAAGGGGTTTAGGAAACTGACTATCATTCAGTTATGGTTTACATGTCCTTTAGCCAACGTCAGTATGCGTGCAATCTGTTCTCCATCTCGTTGGCCTTTT